CTCTCTCTCTCTCTCTCTCTCTCTCTCTCTCTCTCTCTCTCTCTCTCTCTCTCGTGTTTTAGCATAAAGTGCCCCAAACTTCATTCATCGATATTAAAAAAACATACATGGTCCTCCATCCGGCAGGTAGGAATATAGGTCTTCTTATACTGCGGCCTGTCACTCACCCCCATCTTTGCATTACATTGTACTTGTTCCTAGTCGTGACCACCAATACTGGGCGACTTGAGAGTTCTGCAAACTCGAGTTCCCTGAGAAGGGCCACACCTCTGTGGGAGATTTCTCCAAGGGCTGATGGATGAGAAGTTTATGATCACAGGTGTGTGGTCAGAGGACAGCTTTCAGGAGCCCATTCTCTTTCCATTTGTGTTTTGGGGATCAACCCTGGGGTCCTCAGGCTTGCACAGTAGGTGCTTTTGCCTGCTGAGGCATCTTGACAGCCCTACTTTGGATTTATTTCTTTCTCTCTTTCTTTTGTTTTTTAGCTTTAACATCTTAAACATTTATGTAAGATGAATCTTAAAAGGTTTTATTAATTAAAAAAAAAAAAAACCCAGAGCCAGATATTGGGGTGAAAACTGAGAGATCAGAGAAGCAAAAAGAAGCCAGCCATGTTCTTACTGCTAGGAAATCCTCAGCCAACGAGAGACCTACTTCCTGTATACTCACGCCTATATCTTTCTGTGCCCTGCCATCTTACTTCCCCTCTCCACCCAGCTACATCACTTCCTCTTTCCACCCAGCTCTATCACTTCCTGTCTGTCTGTACAGACCTCCAGACCTCTATGGTTAACTAGCCCTGGGATTAAAGGTGTGTGCCACCACGCCTGGCTCTGTTCCCATTGTGGCCTTGAACTCACAGAGATCCAGATGAATATCTGCCTCCCGAATGCTAGGATTAAGGGCAAGTGCTACCCCTGCCTGACCTCTATGTTTAATATAGTGGCTGGCTTTTTCCTCTGATCTCCATGCAAGCTTTATTTATTAGAACACAAATAAAATATCACCACATGTATTAGTTA